GAGGAGCCTGGTGTGCTGCAGTCCATGGGGTCACAAAGAGCCAGACACGACTGAGCGATTGAACAACATCATTTGGTGTATGAAGTGTATCTCAAAAGACCTGCTGAGAAAAGAGAAGCGCTAACCTATCAGAGCTGGAGCAGAAGGTGGGGACAGGGCGTCTCAAACCCCACCACCTTCCTCCATGGTACCCCTGGGAAAGAGGCTCATCATCTCTTGGCTCATCAGAGGCAGGGCAGGACCAGAACATGGGCCTCTGGAGCTCCCCTCCCACCTGGACACCTCCGTGCCCAGTGCTGGAGCTGTAGATACAGAGAGCTCCCAGCGCCCCAGCTCAAGTCCTGACATTGGATGGGGCGTGGTGGGAGGGGGGCTCCAGGAGCTACACAGAGATGCTCCCTGGGTCTGAGTTTCCTCATTTCCAGAATCTGGGCACCTTATACACAGGGGTCTTTATCTGTTCCTTCCTCAGTGGATTCCCAGGTTTTAGAACATAGTAGGTGCTCAGTAAATGTGTGTTGCCCGAGCATGTCGAAAGGGCGTGCTGTGAGGATGAAGTCATTCCACTTGGCTCAGCAGACCAGCTGTAACTGTCATCATCATCACTGCCTTTGTCCCCTGAGCAGATGGGAAGGGCCATTCAGAGTGGCCTGGCCTGGGGGTCTCATCCACGCCTCTGCCCTCCCTTCCTCCCCCTGGCCTCACCCAGCCCCGTCACTCATGCAGCTCGCATCCCTGCCCCAGGGCCTTTGCCCATGCAGTTTTCTCTGCCGGAGATGCCTTCCTCCATTCTCACCTGAGTCACTCCTTCCCAACTTTCCCCATGGGCGCCATCATCACCTCCTCCGAGAAGTCATCCTCATTTCCCTGGCATGCCCAGCCCCAGGGCCTCCTGTCCACGGGTGGTTTTACACGGGTTTGGGTCCTCCGATTCTGGTCTGCCTCCCAGCTCGACAGCAGCTCCTGCCAGCTCATCAGCTCACAACACAGTGCCTGGTACCCGGCAGGCGCTCTGATGGGTATGCGGGCCTGCCTAGGGTCTCTGCACCTTCCCCGTGGTCCCAGAGGGGCCGATCTCCCATCCAGGGAGCATCTGGCAGTGAGGGACCACAGGAGGGCCTAGCAGAGGAGGTCCTGCCTGCACCCTGGTAGGGCGCTAGGGCAGGTGTGACACCTGAGGCCCACAGCACACGACCACTGAAACTAAGTCCTGTTCTCCCGGGAAGGGCGGAGAACATTGGCTGGCAGGGTGGTGGCTTGTTCGGAGTGTGAGGACAGAAGAGGAGGGTTGGAAGTGTCAGGACCGTGTCTCAGTCTCCAGGTGCCCAGCACTGGGCCAGTCATCTCCAAGTCTTCCTAAGCTTCGCTGAAGGGGGAGAGGCCTCGCTGAAGGGGGAGGGGGATGAATGACACATGTTGCTGGGGTCACCAGCACCCTGATTCCCTCCTCACCGCAATTCCAGGAGTCGTTATTTTTCCCAGGAGGCCCAGTGTCACCCAAGACTGGAGGCACCCAGGGGAGCCCCACGTGCGGCCGGGGTTCCCTCCAAGTCCCTGCGGGAGCCCGGCCTCCAGGCCAGAGGATGCTGGGTGGCAGTGGGACGCAGCACACCCAGGCAAAGGATGGCTTTCCCATTTACAAGCACCTCTCTTAGTTTTGAGAGAAACAGATTTCCATACCAAATAAGGCGGTGGACTTCAGAGCCGCTGCCCACTTCACACAATTCCTTTTAAGAGTCCAAACGCAATTACACTTGGAACTTGCTGGGATTGGCCCCCCACCCCCACCCCCTGGCCTCCGCGTGTAAACAAGAGGCCCAGCTGGGCCCCAGCTGGCCGGCCTGGAGGAGAAGGGGAGGGTCCCCAGGCTCTCCTCCCCCTCCTCCTCGGGCGTGGCCGTGAAATTGCAGCATCCTCGACTCCTCCCCCCACCCCTCCCTAAAAGCAAAGGCCCCCCCACCCCAGGCCTGCCGGACCCAGTAGGGAAAAATCCGCGCCCCCTCGGAGGTTCACAGGCGGCAGGGACTTCGTGCTCCTCTGGGCGCGGAGGTGCTGCAGGCCTAGGGCAGGTGCAGGAGAGCTCCGTGTCTGGGTTCTCTTGCCGAGTCGAGGCCCGCCGAGGCAGCCCCCAGCCTGGGCACCGTGTGTTCCGCAGAGGCTGTGCTCAGAATTCCCCCGGGCTCCGCGGGGCCATGAGAAAGTCGGTCCAGGGCAGCGGAGCCTTCCCTGGTGGCTGCCTGGGAAAGCCGCTCCTCACCCTCCGCGTCCTCAAGGCCACCCCCCTCTGGCCTCTGCGCTGCCGACCCCACCCCTAGGCTTTGGCTCGGTGCCCCAGGACCCCGCGGGGGGCTCGCCCGGCTGGGGAGAGGCGGACTCATCCTCCTGCCGAGCGGCGCACGCACCAGGCACCGCAGCCCCGCCCGTTTCCCTGCTCTGTCCGGCCCCAGGCGAGCGCTGTGATTTTCCACTTGCGCCATCTGATTGCTATTAGGGCTGGGGAAAGGGAATTCCTGGCTCCAGGAGCCCGCACGGGGGCCCTGGGCAGATTCTGGGGTGGAAGGGGCTGTGGGGTACCGCCTGCGTGGCCCTGCTGTGCAGTCACCAGGTGGGCCTCTCCGAAGGCCGAGCGCGGCCCCACCATGGAGCCCTCGCCCTCTGCCTCCTTGGCCGCTCCGTTATCAGTGCCTGGGCACCGGTGGGGGCTCACTCCACCCCCCCACCTCCACCCCAGGCCTGCACGCCCAGAGATGCCCAGGGAGGGGCCAAGAGGAGGCACCGGNCAGCAGGCCCTGGCACTCCGACCCCCAAGCCGTCTGTCCTGGGCTTCCAGCTCCTGCTCTGTCCTCCGGGGGGTGGGGGCTCCCCCTCCCCGCCTCCCCTACTCTTGCCAGTCTCCAGCCGTCCAAGTGAGTTTTCTGGAAGGGCAGGAAGGGGAACACCCAGCAGGCAGCATCCCACTGCTGTCACGCAAGCAGACTGCGCTTCCGGCAGCTCGGGGCCAGCCCTGGGGTAGACAGCGAGGAATAAGCCTCGAAGGAGGCTATTCAGCCACGGAGGCTGGGCAGCTGCGTCCCACCTTCTCCCAGGCGGGCAGTGCCTGGTGGGGTGTTGGCGCTGGGCGAAGCTGTCTGTTCCTGAGGCATTCTGAAAGGTCTCCCCTGTGTCCGGGGTTGGGGGGGCGGGGAGGGACAGCCGCAAGCCCACCCCACAGCCAGACAGCGAGGAATAAGCCTCGAAGGAGGCTATTCAGCCACGGAGGCTGGGCAGCTGCGTCCCACCTTCTCCCAGGCGGGCGGTGCCTGGTGGGGTGTTGGCGCTGGGCGAAGCTGTCTGTTCCTGAGGCATTCCGAAAGGTCTCCCCTGTGTCCGGGGTTGGGGGGGCGGGGAGGGACAGCCGCAAGCCCACCCCACAGCCAGCTGTCTCAGACCCAGCCGAGGCGGCAGCCCCCCAGCCAAGGAGACAAGGGGCCGGCAGAACTGGAGACTGCTGGCTCCCTCCAAGCCAGGCCCCCTGGAGCAAAGCCCTGCACAGCCGGCTGGGCCGGGCTCAGAGCCCCAGGCGTGGTGGGTGGAAGTGAGCGATGCGGGGCTTCCTGGGGCCCTGGGAGGCAGACAGGTGGCTGGAGGCCCATCCCTGGGCTCCTGCTTTGAGGGGAGGGTCCACGGTGAGCTGAGCTGGCAGATTTTCTTTTGTCTGTGTTAGCGCAAGCTAGCCCTGTCATAGGCCGGATCCCAGTGTGAGGAGCACACACACTCAGGCGCATCCACCCTCACACATGTCACACACATGTCCTTCCGCGGCCCACGTGGGGTTCAGCTCGGCTCTCAGGTCCCTCCATACGAGTGCAACAGCTTTTCCGAGGGCCCATGGCAGGGCAGCGAGGGCTCAGACACACATAGTGGCAGCCACCCCTCGAGTCAACACTGCGTGCCCAGCCCCACTGCGGGCAGGTCCCAGCCAGCAATCCTGGGGGGCATCTGTGTGCTGGGGGGGGTGCGTCTAGCCTGGCAGGAGGGGAACAGGGGAGGCCCTCCAAGTCAGGACATCGAGCCTGGGCCCCTAGCCTGGGGCCCAGGCCTCCGGGTGGTGTGGGTCTGGAAGGATGAGCAGAAGAGTAGGGTCGTTGGAGGAAGAAGAGGGTGGAAGGGCAGCTACTCCCCAGAAGATGGGCTGAGGCGGGCAGCCAGCAATCCTGGGGGGCATCTGTGTGCTGGGGGGGGTGCGTCTAGCCTGGCAGGAGGGGAACAGGGGAGGCCCTCCAAGTCAGGACATCGAGCCTGGGCCCCTAGCCTGGGGCCCAGGCCTCTGGGTGGTGTGGGTCTGGAAGGATGAGCAGAAGAGTAGGGTCGCTGGAGGAAGAAGAGGGTGGAAGGGCAGCTACTCCCCAGAAGATGGGCTGAGGCGGGCAGTTTGAGGGCTGCAGGCACCCGGAGAGTTTCAACAAGTCCCAGCGTGTGAAGGAGGTTGAGATCTGTCCATGGCAACGGGGACAGGGGTCCAACGAGAGTCAAGACCGCCACGGGGGCGGGGGTGGGGGGCACAGTTATATGCACGCCTGCGACCCATTCCCTGCCCCGCTCCTTCGCAGACCCACACTGCTCAGGCCTCACGAGCTGGATCACGCAAAAGGGCTCCCACCCCGCGCGCAGCCAGCGAATGCAAATCCCGCCGTCCGCGCCGGCCCCGCCGGTGGCCCCTCCAGGCGACCCCGCGCCGGGGTCTCCGGGAGGCCGGTGGTTAAAGAGGGCGGGCGGCTCGCAAGAACCGCCTCTCCGCGCAGCCAATGACCGGCGCCCGCCCGGGCCCACCCTCCCGGCCCGGGGCGGAGGGGCGCGTGGCGGCCTCGACTGGCTGTGGCTGGGTTGGAATTCCGGGGGAGTCAGGAGGAGGAGGAGGAGCCCAGCGCCCCGCCGCCCGGCTGGGCCCCCCCGCAAAGCCCCTCCTCCACTCACAGCCTCAGTTTCCCACCTGCACGGTGGAAGGGATAGGTGCTTGACAAGTTGGGGCTGAGCTCAAGTTGGGGACCGCGGTCAATTCGAGTGAACTCTTGGCAAGTCCACCGATGAGCTCTGCCCGGCCAAGATGGACAAGTCTCAGGCCACCCCTCGCTTCTCCCAGCCGCCCCCCACCCCCAGCCCCGACCTGAAGTCCTGGCCGAGTCCAGCTGCTCCTCCTCCCGCCTGGAGCTAGGGCCACCATAGTGACTTTAGGGCTGGCTTCTCCAGCCTCCCTGCCTCTTCAGCCCGTCCAGACTCTGCAGACACAAATCTGCAAAGCCGTAGTGCCCCCCAACCCCCGCAGGGAGGTGACCTCACCTCCCTGCCCTCATCACAGCGGCGTGACTACACCTGCCTCCTCGCTGGAACCCAGGACCAGACAGGAGGACGGGTGTCCGCGAGCAGGCTCTCACCGACCCGGGGTTGATGGCGGGTGATGACAGAGATGCTGATGCTGCCCTGCCTTCCAGGCACGTGTACGGGAAAGACCAGACACCTTCAGTTCAGTTCAGTCGCTCAGTCGTGTCCGACTCTGCGACCCCATGAATTGCAGCACGCCAGGCCTCCCTGTCCGTCACCAGCTCCTGGAGTTTACCCAAACTCATGTCCATTGAGTTAGTGATGCCATACAGACACAAGGCCCAGGGGAAAGCCTCCTCCTCCAGGAAGTCTTCCTGCCAGAAATGATATTTTCTCTCCCACGCTCCCTCCTGGAACTAACTGCCCGGAAGCCCTGTCCCACCCCTGGCTGGACACAAAGGTGGTGTCCAAGAAATGTGTGCAAACGTATCCCCAGACAACATCTGGCTCCAGAAATGTCAGACAGAGCTGGGAAGGAGAAGGACTTCTTCCCCAGGAGGTGTCACTAAGGTATCAGCAGCAGGGTGAATGAGGAACCGCTCCCCGGGGAAGGAGGGGGCAGTGCACACAGATGCCACCTGCTCTGGACTCAGCAGGAAGCCCCGTGCCTCCCACAAGGCCCTGCCTCTGGGGAACCAGAGGATGGCTCATGAACCTGCCCTCCAAGGGGACAGCCCTACGGGCCTGGGGAGGGGTCTGCCCGGGCGTGGAGGACACCGCCCCCCTGATGCGACCCTTTCTGCCGCGCACAGTGGGTTGTGCAGGCCGGTGAGCTGTGAGCGGACCCTTGAGGAACGTGGACTGGCCAGGCCTGGAGATGGCCGGAAACTGCTCCTGGGAGGCCCACCCCACCAACTGGAACAAGGCAAGTGCCTCCATCAGCTCCGCTCAGAGGGGGCTCCTCTGCCGGGGTCTGCGGGATGGGTGTGATGGGAGGGGCACGCCGCCCCGGTATGTCCTGCTCACACACACTCTGCCATCCAGAACCCATCCTCTAGCTCGGGACAGACAGGGCCCCTCTGGGCTGTGTGGCCTGGCACTGCTTACCAGGTCCCTCGGATCCCCAGTGCCTTCATCACTGGACACCCTCAAATCCTGTCCTGTGTTACCAACCTCCAGAGGTCTCATTCTCTCTTCCCTGTGGGGATGGGGCAGTCAGCTATTTCTCATGGTTAGGCCCTGCCAGGAGGCCCTGCAAAACTGACTGCAAAGGGGCCCTGAGGTCACATGCTCCATGGGGCTCTGGCCCACCCCACCAGTGTCACCCAGGGTCCGGCCGCCATGGCTTACCTCCCCGCTGCAGGCGCCACCCTGCAGCTGAGACTGACAGTCCATCAGACTGACCCACCCCTTCTGCCCTTGCCCCTCTGGTCCCTACTTCTCTGAGACCGTTGGAAACTCTGGAGTTCTTTTCTGAATCCTGGGCAAAACCCTCTCAAGTTGGAAGGACCTCTTGAGTTTAGCGGGTACAATGTTTGAGGAAACCGAGGCTCACGCCAGTGTAGTGACTCAACAGGGGTGAGTCCAGGGGCCCAGCAGAGCCCGGACTGCCCAGGACCTGAGCCATAGCCGCAGGCACCTCCCCGCCACGCCTGCAGCCCCTTCCTGCTTCTGATGGTGACCGCTGTGGGGTGGCCGCCACGGGAAGCAGAGATGGGACCAGCTCCGGAGTCTCCAGAAACCCCCAGAGAAGAGGCAGAGCCCAGGGAGGGGACCAGGCTCCAGGCAGGCATTTTACAAGGTGGTATGTGGCCGGGATGGCAGCTCACGCCCAGTGACTCACCGGCCCTCCCGCTCTGACTCTGCGGAGAGGATTGCAGATTTTTTCCAGCCTGCGAGAGGCTCTGAGTGATCTGGTCTGTCAGCTGCAGCCCCTGCTGCCCTGTTCCCTTGGGTGCAGAGCTGGTCCTCCACCGACTGCTTCAGTCAATGGTCTTGTAGATTACGCCTCTCTTCCCCAGCTAAGAGGAGGTTCTTAGGAGGCCACTCTGTGGCCTGGAGTAGTCAGAACCACCAACAGGAAAGGCTGAGATTAGAGCAAGCTAAGGCGTTTGATGGGCTTCCCATGTGGTACACTGGTGAAGAATCTGCTGGCCAATACGAGATGCAGGTTCGATCCCTGGGTCAGGAAGATCCCTTGGAGGAGGAAATGGCAACCCACTCCAGTATTCTTGCCTGGAAAACCTCATAGACAGAGGAGACATGACGGGCTGCAGTCCCTGGGGTCGCAAAGAGTCAGACACGACCGCACACACACACACACAGCACGAAGGGTTTGAGAGCTGACAGACAGACAGATGTGGAGTCATCAGTAAATGTATTTAGAGAATGCTGGGTAGTGGCTAGGACCCCATGCCCTGAGCTCACGGGGCCAACCCAAAGTTCACCAGCACCCTCCAGTCCCTGCTTGCAGATGCCCCTTGACCAGAGCCGGGCCAAAAGTGCTCTCCCTCTGTTATGGGGCATCAGGCCCAGAAAGCCATCTTTCAGGACCCAGCTTTCTGCCAGAGCTGGGGGGGTCATCTGGAAGGCAGCAGAGTGGGCTTGATCTGACAGCCTTCTGGGTCTTGTTTGTGTGTTTGTTTGTTTTGCTTTTGTTTTGGAGGGAGAGTCACGAGCAGTGGAAACTGATACCCAGCAGGCGTTTAGAGGGAGGTGAGGTTCAGGCTCTGTGGGAGAGAGCGCTGGGAAGGATGAGTGATGTCTGCCGGGGTATGGCAGGGGAGTGACAGTGTTCTGGGCAGCTTCGGCCACTTGGGACGAGAGGTCAAAATCGATAGCCTGAGAACAAAATCAGCTTCTAAAGACGTGTTGTGCTTGGCCCAGTGTTTTTTTTTAGATGTGAATGTTTAAAGATCAGGGTAGTTTACATTAGGGCTTCCTAGATGGCTCAGTGGTAAAGAATCCACCTGCTGATGTAGAAGACACAACAGATGCGGGTTGGATCCCTGGGTTGGGAAGATCCCCTGGAGAAGGAAATGGCAACCCACTCCAGCATTCTTACCTGGAGAATTCCATGGACAGAGGAGCCTGGGAGCTGGAGTTGATGGGGTTACAAAGAGTCCAACATGACTGAGTGAGCACAGAGCTTACAGTCTCGAGTTCTGCCTTCTCTGGGGAGTGGGGGAAAGATGATCCGTCACAGTCCACCAGTCCCCACTGGAGCCCCCGGCTGGAGCAGAGCGGCTGCCCACTTGCTCAGGACAGGTGCACTCCCGTTTGCCATCGTCCCCCCACTCGCTGGTTTCTTGCACCTGGCCCACCTTCATGCATTTCTCCGCCAGCCCAGACCCTGCAGCCAAGACTGACATTTAGCCAGATGGACTCACACAGCCAGACCAAGTGTCAAACCACGGAAGCGCTCCCCCACAGCTCTATAAATAGCCGCTGCCTCCAGCGTCTCCCCCTCCAGGGACCCCCTGGCCAGACCCAGTTCCCTCATGATCCAGAAAGCCAAAGGGTCACCCAGACCCAGCAGGGGACCACCCTGATTCCCCAGGTCTCTCTGATCCCACTGTGGGTCACGGTTCACTTTTGTTTCAGTAACTTGCAAGTGATTTTGCTCTTCTAAATAAATGTTTTCATGTTTTAGTATGAAGCATTGCAAGTTTTGTAAATTTGCCTAAACCTTGATCGACTCTGTTAGCCTGTTGTCACTTGTACTTTCTATCTAGTATCTTTTTTTAAAGCTTTTTATTTTTTATGGGGGTATAGCCACAAACTAATGTTGTGATAGTTTCAGGTGAGCAGCGGAAAGGAGTCAGCCTTACATATACATATACACGTACAAGTATCTGTTCTCCCCGAACTCCCTTCTCATCCAGGCTGCTGCATAACATTGAGCAGAGTTCCATGTGCTCTATTGTTAGTTATACATTTTAAATGTAGCAGTGTGTACATGTCCATGCCAAACTCCCTAACTATCCCTTCTCTCCCAGCAACCACTAGTTCATTCTGGAAGTCTGTGAGTCTCTTTCTGTTTTAAAAGTGCATTGAAGATACTTTCTTTCCTAAAGCTATTTGAAAGTCAGTTAGAGGGACTTCCCTGGTGATCCAGTGGCTAAGACTCCAAGCTCTCAATGCAGGGAGCCCAGGTTCAATCCCTGGTCAGGGAACTAGATCCCACATGCCACATTTAAGAGATCATCTGTCACAATTAAAGACGTCGTTTGCCACAAGGAAGAGTGGAGATCCTATGCGCCACAACTAAGACTCAGCACAGCCAAATAAATATTTTAAAAGTTTTTAAAAAGAAAGTAAATTACAGACTACAATGCCCTTTGCCCCCAAACAGCCTGTATCTTCTTAAGATCAAGGACCCTCCCATGCAGCTACAGTGCATCTTCAGTGCACTGCTGTTCAGAAAGCGCAACATGGGTCCAATACCATTATCTAGACATGGTTTGTATTCCCACTTCCCCAGTCAATCCCGTAATAGCCTCCATAGCGATGGCTAGACCCACAGTACAATCCAGGCTTACAGCCCTGCCATGATTGGTCATGCCTCTTTAGTTTTCTTCAGTGTAGAAAGGCTCCTCAGTTTTCTTGAACCATATGGACATTTTCTGGGCAGTGGGATATCAGGTCCTTTGATGAGGGACTGATCATTTTCACCGTTTTCACCATCACTCTGGTAGGCTGCCAGCTCCAGACTCGGGCACAGAGTGGTAGATCAGGTGTGCCTTCTGCTCCAGTTGGAGCCAATTCGTTGCTCCAAAGCCAAGTCTGTCATCAGGACTAATAGACCTGGAAGCAGATGTGGGTTTTGGGGTGGAGCCCGCATGCGTGCTTAGACGCTCACTCCTGTCTGACTCTTTGCTACCCCCATGAACCCGCCACCACATCTGTCCATGGGATTTCCCAGGCAAGAATGCTGGAGTGGGTTGTTGCCATTTCCTTCTCTAGGAAACCTTCCCCACCCAGAGATCGAACCTGGGTCTCCTGCATTAAAGGCAGATTCCGAGCCAGCGGGGAGCCCTGGGGGTGGAGCCTAGCCCGCCCGGAAGCCGGCGCGGGTGGGAGGCGGAGACCAGCCCCCTCACTGCGCCTCCCCCTCCGCACCTGCGCAGATGTGTCCCGGCGTGAGCGAGGCCCCCGAGCTCTATAGCCGCGGTTTCCTGACCATCGAGCAGATCACCATGCTGCCGCCTCCGGCCGTCATGAACTACATCTTCCTGCTCCTCTGTCTGTGCGGCCTGGTGGGCAACGGGCTGGTCCTCTGGTTTTTCGGCTTCTCCATCAAGAGGAGCCCCTTCTCCATCTACTTTCTGCACCTGGCCAGCGCGGACGTCGGCTACCTCTTTAGTAAGGCTGTGTTCTCCATTCTGAACACGGGGGGCTTCCTGGGCCCCTTTGCCGACTACGTCCGCGCAGTGTCCCGGATCGTGGGGCTCTGCATGGTCCTCACCGGCGTGAGCCTCCTGCCAGCCATCAGCTCGGAGCGCTGCCTGTCGGTCATCTTTCCCGCCTGGTACTGGCGCCGTCGGCCCAAGCGCCTGTCGGCCGTGGCATGCTCCCTGCTCTGGGCCCTGTCGCTGCTGGTCACCTGCGTCCACAACTACTTCTGCGTGTTCCTGGGCCGCCAGGCGTCCGGGGCAGGCTGCAGGCACATGGACGCCTTCTTGGGCATCCTGCTCTTCCTGGTCTTCTGCCCGCTCATGGTGCTGCCCTGCCTAGCGCTCATCCTGCACGTGGAGTGCCGGGCCCGGCGGCGCCAGCGCTCGGCCAAGCTCAACCACGTCACCCTGGCCGTGGTCTCGGTGTTCCTTGTGTCCTCCATCTACTTGGGCATCGACTGGTTCCTCTTCTGGGTCTTCCGGATCCCGGCGCCCTTCCCCGAGTACGTCACCGACCTGTGCCTCTGCATCAACAGCTGCGCCAAGCCCGTGGTCTACTTCCTGGCCGGCAGGGACAAGTCGCAGCGCCTGTGGGAGCCTCTCAGGGTGGTCTTCCAGCGGGCCCTGCGGGACGGGGCAGAGCCGGGGGAGGCAGGAGGTGGCACGCCCAACACGGTCACCCTGGAGATGCAGTGTCCCTCGGGGAACGCCTCCTGAGAGGCCGGGCGCCTGCAGGCGAGGCCGGGCCCACGTGGCCTCCAGAGACCCTTGACAGAGGGACACGAGCTGGCAGCAGCCCTGGGGCCCAAGCGCAGGGAGAAAGCTGCTTCTGCCTGCGAGCCGCCTTCTCCCAGGGCACAGGCTCCCCTGGGAAGTGGGGAGCGAGACGGACAGCCCCCTGTGACCCTGCCAGGCTCCCCCGGCCACCCCCTCCTTCCCTGAGCCGCAGTACAGAAGTCGCCCCCAGGCCGCGGGCTGGGTGTGGGGCTCCTTCTGGCCCCAGGGTGATCCGGAAGGGAGAGGAGGGCGTCACCCAGCCCTGTCCACCTTCTGCCCCGTGGTGAGGCAGCCCTCCCCTAGAAGGACTCGGCCTGCACCATCGCCCATTGGGCCAGCAGCTTCCTCCTGCCGTGAAGACACCTCCTGGCTCCGTTCATCCTCTTAAGGTGACCCTGCGAGCAGACGGCCACGAAAGGGCACTGCGGGGGAGAGCTGCCCCTTAACCATCTCGGGGTCCCGTCTTTCTGCAGATGACGTTCCCGCCTCTGGGGAGCCCTTGGCGGCCCAAATGGCGGGTCTTCTGTCCTGCTGGGTAGCTGGACACAGAAAGGAGCCGCAGCCGGCTTGAGTGACTCGCTCTCTTTTCTGACTCCATGCCGGCTGGTGCGTCCAAGCCGCCGTCTGCCTGGCCCGCGGGGCTCTAGGGGAGACAGCCCCCTGTGACCCTGCCAGGCTCCCCCGGCCACCCCCTCCTTCCCTGAGCCGCAGTACAGAAGTCGCCCCCAGGCCGCGGGCTGGGTGTGAGGCTCCTTCTGGCCCCAGGGTGATCCGGAAGGGAGAGGAGGGCGTCACCCAGCCCTGTCCACCTTCTGCCCCGTGGTGAGGCAGCCCTCCCCGGGAAGGACTCGGCCTGCACCATCGCCCGTCGGGCCAGCAGCTTCCTCCTGCCATGAAGACACCTCCTGGCTCCGTTCATCCTCTTAAGGTGACCCTGCGAGCAGATGGCCACGAAAGGGCGCTGCGGGGGAGAGCTGCCCCTTAACCATCTTGGGGTCCCTTCTTTCTGCAGATGACGTTCCCGCCTCTGGGGAGCCCTTGGCGGCCCAAATGGCGGGGCTTCTGTCCTGCTGGGTAGCTGGACACAGAAAGGAGCCGCAGCCGGCTTGAGTGACTCGCTCTCTTTTCTGACTCCATGCCGGCTGGTGCATCCAAGCCGCTGTCTGCCTGGCCCACGGGGCTCTAGGGGGCCGTCCAGGCCGTCACGGGGCTCCGGGGGGCCGTCTGAGAGTGGGCACTGGCTCTCCCTGGCCACCCCAGCCCACCTGCAGGCACGGGGGCCCAGCTTGGTCAGCGGAGGTTTTATGAAAGACAGTAAATGTGTATCAATAAACCTTTTCTATCTTGCACTGAGGAAGACTTCCTGCCCTCTGTCCTGTCCGTGGGCTTGTGCCCACGCTGAGGACCCCACAGGCATCCGAGGCGCAGGTGGGCTGCCCTTCCGCGCTCCCTTCCCCGCACAGCCTGCTGCGTACCCCAGGTCTCGTGCCCCGGCTCCTGGCGGGCCTGTCTACACCCCCAGCTGCCCCCTCTCCGGGGACGCTGTCCACTGCTCTGCTGGGGGGAGCGTGATCCCCACGCTGCCCTCTGTTGGCTCACCCCCGTGCCCTTCCCACCCACCCACGGCCCCCTGCTCCCTCTGGAAACTTAGCTTTCATCACACCTCCTGAGTTCCGGGCTCTGTGCTGGCTGATACAGTCCAGCCCGGGAAGAAGACAGCGTGTCCACACGGAGCCCCCCACACCCCCCGCCCCGGGGGGCCGCTGCCTCTTCTGCTGCGTGCCCCTCCCGCCTTCCAGAACTCTCTGTCCTGAGGTCTCTGGGGCGGGCGGGCGACCCTGTGCCCGGCACCTCCCGACTTCCCAGCCAGAGCCTCAAGCCCCTCCCAGGAGACGGCCTCCACTCGGGCCGGGCCGGCCGACTCCCTGACTGCCCCTCACCCCTGACAGCCCGTGGGAGACAACCATTTTGGATCCAACCTGAGACCCCCGCCCCTTTGTGGGAAGATCTGAGGAAACCGCTCACCGCACAGGCCCCGGGGAGAAACCGAGGGCAGAGGCATCAGGGCCCCTTGGAGCAGAGCGCCCCCTTCTGTGGAGACGGGGGCGGGGGTGGGCAGGGCGGCCGAAGGACGGAACTGCCTTTCAAGGGAGTGGTTCCGCCCGGCGGCTGGCATTCTGTCCGGAGACCCTGGATGCCCTCCTGCCTCACCCAGGCGACCCCGGAGCCCAGGCCACAACACCCCCTCAGGCCGGCTGACCCCCAAGCGCGTGGCCCCAAGGACCGGCCCCCTCAGGCCCCCACCCCTGATCTCCCTGTTCTCACAGCCCCGGCTGCCTCTCCAGCAAGGCCCCTGCTCCGTGTGGCCCAGAGGCCAAGGTTCCAGGAGCTCTGGTGTTGGGGCCGGTGCCCCCATCCCCTGTCCCAGCCCCTGGGGTGCACCCTCCCCAGCACCCCCTCCACACACTGGACGGAACCCCGGGAGAGCAGAGCTGGGGTCCAGCACCGCTAACATTCCTGAGGACCCGGAGAAACCAGATGGGGTCCTGACAACCCGCATGGGGGGACCGGGGCCAGGACTTGGACCCTTCGCTTGGAAAGCTCAGGCCTCCACACGGCAGGAAGGCCTCCAGGCCTGCAGGTGCCTGAGGAGGCCGACCAGGGCTGGCTCCTCAGGGCGCACTGCATCCCTGGAGTTCACCTCTTCTCAGGAGCCCCCACCCCAGGCCTCCAGTCCTGAGTCCCCCGTAGGAAGCTGTCCGCAACCCACCCAGGAGCTCAACCAGGGCCTCCCTGCGGCTGCCTCGGTTCAGAACCCAGGCCTGGTGGGTGGGTAGGTGACCTTGGCCCACAGCAGGGCCTGGAGGTCAGGGCAGGGCTGCAGTTGTGTATTTGAACAGACATGTGCCCTTAGCAGGTGCTAAGCCAAAAAGTGCGGGGGGTGGGGTGCAAATTCCAGGACTGAGGCCTCTCCCAGCCCCTAGCCCCTTCTCCCCACAGTCTTGCCAAGGAGCCAGGCCTCTCTGCCCCGCTGCCGCCCCAGCCCCCTGCCACCCCACCCTGGAAAGCTTTCGTGCATAACCTGCCCACACCCCGACCACCTCGCTTCTGTGCTAATGGTGGGTAAAGGCACAGGCGCCCGTTAGCAGACACTTCAGCCCTGGACCACATTCCTCCTCCCTCCTTTGGTGTTTAATTATTAAAGGGGCCTCCAGAGTCCACTGCATCGGTGGGGCGATATGCCTCAGCCATCCTCACCCCCGAAACAGCCCAGCCCAGCCCCCAGCAGTCCCCTCCCAAGCCTCCTCCTTTCTGGGTGTCCCATAAAGGCACGAAGCCGAGGGTCCACCCAGCATCACAGATTTCCACCCTGAAACTGCCTGGGGCAAGAGGTCTGACGGGTCTCCCCTGACAACTGCTGTCAACAGAGTCATAGAATTGGGCAGTGCGGTCTCCATACCCACTAGGCAGCTTCTCGGTGGCAGGACAAAGCAAGAACCCTTGTCTCTCTGCCCCCCCCAAGCCCCTCACCCTGTAAGGGAGGGGGAGGGGTGGTCTAGGGCAGGACAGACCTCTCCACCTCTCCAAGTACTGCCTGTCGCCGCTGTCTCTACACACACGAGCAGTGGTCGCCTCCGCAAACCGCTGGACCTCGGTGGGCGGTGCCCTGGCTTCCCCGCATTACTGACGGACTTCAGAGGGGAGGGCAGCAGCCACTGAAGGAGGGACGTTCGTGGGAACAGCCAATCCCAGCCCTGCTGGTCGGGGCGATGACTGCTGTTTATTTCTTTATAGTTCTAATTGGAAGATAACTGCTTCACAGTGATGTATTAATTTCTGCTGTACGTCAGTGTGAATCAACTATAAGTACACCTATATCCCCTCGCTCTTGAGGCTCCTTCCCACCCCTCGTCCTATCCCACCATTTATTGAGGACCTACTGTGTGCAGCTGGCCCTGGGCTGAGAGCTCCATGAATCCGTCGCCTTTAGTCTTCAGGACAGGACTCAGCGGCACAGACTATTAGCAGCCGTTGTAGACGCCGGGGCTCGGAAACGGGGTCACCTGTTCGAGGTCAGTCCTGCCAGCTGGACAGCCTCTCTGGAGCCCCAGTGACCATCCGGCACCGTGGCTTTCTTGTTTCCCTGGAAGCTCAGACCTCTGAACCTCTGTGTTTTCCATCGGCCAAGCACTGGGAGTTGAGGTCCAGGGGTGATGGCAAGACACAGCAACCCCATCACAACCCAAGGACACCCGGACTAGCTTTTTTGTATTCCACGGTCACTAGTTACCAAAGGCGGGGTTTCAGCTCCATTTCAGGCTGTGGATGTCCAGAATGAAGCTGGGGATGCGAAGGCGTGCATGTTTAGCAGATGGGGCAGTGAACGGCCTGGAAGCGAACATCTCCTCTGTCTCATCTTCCATCCTAAGAAGAGGAAATGGAATGCCTCTCTAGCATCTGCCCAGCTTTCCCCTATCTCCTGCCAGTGTGGTTTTGAGATAAATTGGGGTTTGTATTTTATGCCAGAATTTTCTGAAGCCCAAGAGCTTTTCTGCAAAGCTTGGTTCAGAAATCTCAGCCAAGAGGATTCCTCTGTCCTGAGAACCAAGAGCTCCCTTTAGAAGGCAAGATGGAGAGATGAGTCCATTCATGATCCAGCCTCTCAATGCTTGGGAAGAAGCCCCAACCCAAGGAAGCCTATCCCTCAGCGGGTTGGCTACAAGGTCAGGGAGCTCTGAAAACCAATTGCAGAATCTTCCAGAACCAAGACAATCAAGAACATGAGTACAAAAATATCACATTCTCAGCCAGTTGGGGCTGGAAAGTAGCCAGTAGGGGTTTGGAGAAAACAACAGGACACAGTCCATAAAATTAAAACTCATGGAAAACTCTGCTTCAGTGAGTCAGTGAATGCCAGCTCCAAGTTTCCTGGCAATGCAGGAGAAGGCTTCCCTACTCAGGCAGATTTTTTTTTTAAACTTCGTAATTATTTAATGGCAGTCTAATGGATGCATTAATACAATAAGTTGCATCCATTTAATGTAGAGTTCAGTAATCTTTGACACATGTGTGTATGCTCACGTCATCACCAAATCAATATACAGAATGTTTCCATCCCCCCAAAAGAACATTTCCATCACCAGCCCCACAAATTTCCCTAGGGCACGCAGCCCATCATCCCCGGCCTCTGCCCCAATCCTGAGGCAACCACTTATCTCTGCCTTATGCAACTGTAGATTCTAGATTACGATTAGTTTCATAAGCAGAGTTTTTATCAGCCAGAACTTTCGGTGACAAGTAACAGGAACCCTGGCTTCCCAGGTAGCTCAGTGGTAGAGAATCCACCTTCCAATGGAGGAGATGTGGGTTCAATCCCTGGATTGGAAAGATCCCCTGGAGAAGAAAACAGCAACCTACTCCGGTATTCTTGCCTGGGAAATCCCCTGGACAGAGGAGCCTGGCGGGCTACAGTTCATGGGGTCACAAAGAGTCGGACACAACTTGGCAGCTGAGAACGCATGCAACAGAAACCCCCCCAGTTTAATCAGCTGAGGGGGAGGGGTGGGTGGTATAGGTGGGGCAT